CGGCGTCAAGATCTTCGACGTGACAAAGAAGACGTGCCTGCGTCCTGATTGGTCCTGCCGAGGGATTGGGTACTTTCTCCTCCAGCAGCACTGCAGTTGTCGGTCAGACTCGCCCGACTGCTGTCCGAATGGCTGGAGAATCACCCTGGCTGGCTCCAGATTTCTGACGTCCGCTGAGCAGCGGTACGCACCCGTCGAAGGGGAAGCACTCGCCGTCGCTTGGGGTTTGGAACAAAGCAGGTTCTTCACCCAAGGCTGCGATGACTTAGTCGTCGCTACAGATCATAAGCCCCTGATCAAAATCTTCGGAGACAGGACCCTTGACGAGATCACGAACAGCCGACTGTTTCGGTTGAAACAGCGCACTCTGCCATGGCGATTTAAGATCATGCACCTGCCAGGAAAATCAAATCATGCTGCCGACGCTGCCTCCAGGAACCCAACTGCGTCTCAATCTACGAGTGGCTCAGAACTCAGCGCACAGGATCTGGTGGAAGTCGCATTGACTGAAGCAATTCGTCACGAAGCTCGCGACATGGCGCTCCCCTGGTCGCTCATCGCAGAAGAGACGACCAAGGACGCTTCCTGGCGTCATCTCCTCGACATGATCGAGAGCGGACATTGGATCGACCGTGTACAAGATCCCACAGTAGCCCAGCTCCATCATCTCTTCGACTCCCTCTACGTGGAAGACGGCGTCATCCTCTACCAGGACCGAGTTGTCGTTCCCCCAGCTCTGCGCCATCGTGTATTGGCCAACCTCCATTCTGCTCACCAGGGCATATCAATGATGGAGCAGCGCGCGCGCACCATTGTATATTGGCCAGGCATGTGCAAAGATATCCGGGAGACCCGCGATCGCTGCACCGACTGCAACCGTAACTCACCGTCGCAGGCTGACACGCCACCCATCCCATCACCGCCACCATCGACACCATTCGAGGCTGTCTTCGCTGATTTCTTCGACCATGGTGGTCGTCATTACTTGGTCGTGGGCGACCGTCTTTCTGGATGGGTAGAAGTATTCGGGTCGACCTCGGGAACTGTCATGGCAGGCGCTTCTGGCCTCATCAGCCACCTCCGAGCCTTCTTCAGGACGTTCGGTGTACCGGAAGAGATCTCTACGGACGGTGGCCCAGAATTCACGGCAAGCTCAACCAAGGAGTTTTTCAGCACCTGGGGTGTTCGGCATCGTGTTTCGTCGGCCTACTTCCCCGTATCAAACGGCAGAGCTGAAGTCGCGGTCAAGACGGCAAAACGCCTTCTCATGTCAAATACTGGTCCCAACGGTTCTCTCAACCAGGACAGTTTTCTCCGTGCAATGCTGCAGCTGAGAAATACCCCTGACCCGGACTGCAACGTCTCGCCGGCACAAATAGTCTTTGGTCGGCCCCTGCGTGATGCTTTCTCATTCGTCAATCGACTTGAGAAGTTCTCCAACCCGAACATCCGCCCCATCTGGCGAGATGCTTGGGCAGCAAAGGAGGACGCACTGCGAGCACGCATGACACGCACAACCGAAGAGATGACCAAGGGATCCCGCCCGCTCCGTCCTCTCTTAGTCGGCGAACATGTCTTCATTCAAAATCAGCATGGCTCCCACCCAAACAAATGGGATCGCTCAGGCGTCGTCATGGAAGCCCTGGGGCATGACCAGTACTGCGTGAAGGTGGACGGCACGGGTCGCATCACGAACAGAAATCGTCGATTCCTAAGGGCATTCCAACCGGCGACACTCAGTATCGGACCTCGTGCCCCGGTGACTGGACGCAGACTGGAGGCGCCCAGCAGCCTGTCGACGCCAGTCATCCACCCTCCCGACTCACCCGAGACACGAAGGGTACAGTCTGAGCCAGAACGTCACACCCAGGACACGCAACTGGCTCCGACTTTGAGCCCATGCTCAGGTCCAGTGGTAACGGATGCACAGCGTCCACCAGGGAATGCTGAACTCCCACCAGCTGACACCGTTCGGATCCCACCGGGACCACGGCGCTCCGCACGCAAGTTCAAGCCCGCGAAGTTCTACGAGCCTGAGACAGGATGCTGGAGGGAGCGCACCGGGTAGCTGCTACCTTGGGAGCTGCTACAGTTTGGTTAAATCGTTCAGGCTGTTAAGTTCGTTCATTACCAAGCCACTTTTGACTTGACACTAACGAACTGGGGGGGATGCAGAGATGCTACCTGAGCGGTACTTAGGTAAATGGGGCACGTGCTAATTACTGAACAGTGCTAATTAGTTTAGGTGCCATCCTATTGTTACTAACGGGCATTTAAGATGATTTGGTCATCGTTCTAATACATGTTTCACGAACGAGGAGTTTCTTCAGCACACGCACCAATTCACGCCCATTCCCACTCCGCCATAGACGTGTCATCGCGAGCCGGTGCTGCTGGCAGCCAGCCCAGCTGCGACTGGCGCACGCTGCTTGTTTGTTTTTGTTTTATTGGGTTAGGCCCTTTCGGTCTGACAAGACCATTTCAGAGCCGGACGAATGATAGGAATTAGGGGAGACGACATTGGTCTGGGCAGACACCCTACAGAGTCGCCGGGGCTGAGCCCGTCCGAATGGACAGGCCGACCAGCCCCCCAAGCACTCTCTGCACCCAGCTACGGGGTGCGCTCCCTCGGGAGCAGCGGTGCCGCTCCAAGGGAGCAGCCCACATGAGATAAAGGTGCCTGTCCAGCCCGGAGTGGGGGGGGGGGGGGGGGTTTCGGCGTGGAGGAGAAGGATTTCAGTATCCTGATTCCTGATGATGGAAACGACGGAACGGAGGAGCACGTTGCTCCGAACCTCCCCTTTACATAGCCGCGAGTAGTATTTTTTTCGGTAAAACAATTAAAGGTAGACTGCCACCTTTTTCCCACAAAACGGTTTTCACTAGAGCTGAGCCACCTATGTCCCAGACTGAAGTCGGTTTTCCGAAATTCGAACCCGTTTGCGAGAAATCGGAGACCAAAGTTCAGTTTGATGCCATTTTTTTAGTCCAAGAAAACCGACATCTCTACTGTTTATCGATAACTTTGAAACATGAATTTTCTTATCTTTTGGTAAATATATGTCAAAACTTTGATTGTTTCGAGATCAGAGAAGAATTTTGGAGTGTCAAAATAAAAGTTAAAGTTATATATTCAGTAGTTCATTTTTTCCAAAAAAGTGTGGGAAATGGGGTTTAACATGGGCCAGACCCATTTCAAATGAGCCATGATTTTTAAATGTTTTACGAACTTAAATGCAAAATAAATTAAACATGGCCAATTTCTTATGAAATCATATATTAGTAAATCATAAAATACCTTACTTTTTCAAATAAAATGTAATAATCTTATGACCTTGAAGTCTAGTGATGTGTAAACATTGTGGCTAGACATTAACCGATTGATAATTGTATGATAATCGACAATTTTTTTCGCGATTCACGTGATGATACTTTGTCAGGTGAATTCTAAAATTTTGTTTTGTCCAGGGAATAAATCATAGGCCGATCTGAGAAAACTTTTTGAAGGTGGCAGTCTTCCTTTAAGGATCTGTAAGCTTGTTGTCAGCGTGCGACGGTTATATAGGCCGTACCACTAACCGCCTTTGTTTTACCATCACGGACGGCACGTATATGCCACCCTCATCTTATACACTTGACTTTATTTGGCCCAATCGCTCTGGAATTTCTCAAACTCCCTGACCGGTCAGTGAGTTTGCAAACTCCCTAGTGAATTTGTAAACTCCCTAGTGAGTTTGCAAACTCACTGATGGGTCAGTGAGTTTGCAAACTCCCTAGGGAGTTTGCAAACTCACGGATTTCTCAAACTCCCTGTAACATATACATGTAACGTCATGTAACGTCACTTTGGTCTTAATTGCGTTGGCGTTTCGGGCGTGCGATTTGCGCGTTTTGCGGTGTTTGCGTTTTGCGGCGGGCGGGCGTTTTGTGTTTTTTTGCGGTGTTTGTGTTTGGCGGCGGGTGGGGGGGGGGGGGGCGATGCGGGCGTTTTTTGCGTCCTTTTCGGTGTTATTTTTTTGGTTTCCGGCGTTCGTTTTTTTTGCGGTGTTTGCGTTTGGCAGCGGGCGGGCAATTTTTAGGCGTTTTCGGTTGGTGGTTGGCGTGCGTGCGATGCGGGCGGTTTATTTTTTTAGGCGTTTTTGCGGTTTTTGCGGTTTGCGGCGGTCGGGCATTTTTTTCGACGTTTGCGTTGGAGTTTTGGGCGTGCATTTTGCGCGTTTTGCGGTGTTTGCGTTTTGCGGCGGGCGGGCGTTTTGTACTTTTTTCGGTGTTTGTGTTTGGCGGCGGGCGGGTGGTGATGCGGGCGGTTTTTTGCGTTGTTTGCGGTGTTTAATTTGTTTGCGGTTGGCGGCGGTTGGGCGCTGTTTAGGCGTTTTCGGTTGGCGGTTAGCGTGCGTGCGATGCGGGTGGTTTTATTTTTTGCGGCGTTTTTGCGTTTTTTTGTGGTTTGTGGCGGGCGGGCGTTTCTTTTTTTCGAAGTTTGCGTTGGCGTTTCGGGCGTGCGTTTTGCGTGTTTTGCGGTGTTTGCGTTTTGCGGCGGGCGGGTGTTTTTCACAATTCAAAGTCTCAACCTTCGGGCCGCAGCGCTCCTCGAAAAGCGCTGCCCTCGAGTATAAATGCGGCATATGTGGCAGATGTGATTTTACGGCTTTTTATATTACTTGTAGCGATTGATAAAGGGTTGTACCTGAAATATATCGACATACTTGCTGATTTAAATGAAAATAAAACTATTTCATTATTATTTCACATTTTTCTAACGTTGAGGATAATTGGTCAATGTTCTCTTTCATTATTCATACTATGCTCAAATTGCCCCACATGTTCAAATTACCCCACCCTACCCTATTCATTTCAAGTTATACCAAGTCTCATGTTCATATCTCTTAGTTTTTAGATATATCTCACAAAACGTAAAGGGGGTGTAGTCGATACCTCCCCCCTCCCCCCAGCGACTCGTGATTTATACCCGCATTGATGGGGGTTTTCTTTCGGCGCAGGTACCGCTCGACACCATGTTCAAATCGTCGGCCTCGAAGAAGAGGAAAAGGGAGCCAGGCACGGTCTCGTCGTGGATCGAGTCGACCTTCTGCCGCCGCGAGTGTAACCGGTTTCTGCCCAGCGCCAAAGACAACAGCAGGTGGGTGGGCCGCGCCGCGCCGCCGCCGGCCGCTCACTGCAGCCGGCTGAGCTTTTACTCGCACTTCTTTCCTGGAATGGTCGCCGGACAACGGACTGACGATATTCCTGTTTTGGGACTGACCAGTGACCATAGCGTTTGGTTCTACTTCGCTCTATGACTGACCGTACCTGATAGGCAGCGGTGACAAAGGTCAATAGTAACTTTTATTTTTTGTTTTGTGTAACACAAATGCTTATGTCATCGTTGTGTTTGTTCAAAAGTTGCCCGAATGGCATGGTAAGTGTTCCGGGAGTGCCTTTAAATAATGTCTCGAGAATAATGTCTCGAGACAAATGCTAAGAATTTGTGTTACGCACGGATTTTGGCTGTCTCATATGTCTCATCTACTTGTCTGACTAGCATGTCATTTTAAATATATCATTTGTGTGTGTGTGTGTGTGTGTGTGTGTGTGTTTTTTTAGTCGGATCTCTCTCCAACGGGCTGTTGTCTCAATTATAGGAGAGAGCACCTGCTCCTCCTCTTCGTCCTATTCCCCACCCCCCAGGCTGCGGCTGAAGTGGGAGCCTACCCCACACCTGGGCCCAATCTTACCAATGACGTGAATGCAGATGCCGTGGATGCCAACCACGGCGGCTGATCCACGGCACTCCATTTACCCAATCTTACCAATGCCGTGCCACGGCATTTCTGTTCACGGCATTTTGCCCACGGTACAATTTAGTGTCAGCAGAAAACACGCAACGTAATTGGTCAATTCTTGTCACCCTCGCTATTGGAAGTTGTGCGTATTGCTTGTGAACAAGTATAGCTCTCTATTTTAAGTTTTGTCGGGCGTTTAGTTGTTTTAGAGCCATACATATGTGTGAAGGATAAGTTATTTGTGGAAAACGTGATAGCAAACTATGAAAAACTAAAGCCTGCCTAAAGAATTCTCCTGAAAAGCGGATTACTGGCCTAGTAAACTTCCGCGAGGACATTCTCGCGCTAAGAAAATCGAGTCGATTAGTTTTCAACTTCGTTTCGCTACTCATCATTTCTATTTACTTGCTGTTAAGATATTGCAACAATTTTGAGCAGGCCCATGTCACTCCGCTTTTGATGACATCATAAGGGGGCCTCAAGACAATAATGGCGTGGTGCGCCACAATCGCTTCCAAGCTTCTTGCCAACACTTGCCATTTTTGAAAATATAATTTTGAAATAAAGTTACAAATAATAAAAATATTTTAATAAAGTTATTATTCATATCAATACGTTATCTAAAAACATACTGAAAAATGATTTACTTATAGTAAAAATATAAGCTCGATGCGTTTTTACGTTGCTTTTCTGCTACTGCAGAGGGTTTTAAAATCGCCTATATCTTAAAAAAAAGGCCATTTCTTAGCATATTGCTGCTCTTTTTTGTCGCTAGAAAATTAGTTGAGCTTTCGATTGACATCAACGGTTGAGCAATATGTGAAAAGTACCATCAATAATCTTCAAATGAAGTTTGTCATTTTTACGTTGTTCAGGAATGGAGCACCCCTTGCGAGCATCAGGGATGACGTCACTCAGGATCTGTCTCTGATTGGTCGGCGGGGGAGTGATTGTACCTTCTATATATGGCCTTGATTTTGAGATAAAATTATTGAAGTAACGACTTAGTGATAGCTCCTCTGCTATTTCAGACATTGGAATAATGCAATTGCAATGCAGCTCGTAAAATTTAAACTTTGGGTACATGCACCGGGCCAGCTCAAGCTACAGCCTTATTTTTCTGCTTTTTACAAGCATAATAACAAAAGGAATTCCTCAAAATATTGAAGAAACCCGTCTACATCTCAAATCCATATCAAGAAAAAGGCTTTCAGTTCAGAAGTCAGATTGAGACGCATGAAGACAGCATGCTCCATAGCTGTCTGTGCCAGACAGAAAGTGGTAAAATATGCATTGTGAGAGCTTATAATTGTTTGACAAGTTTACGGTATTTAATTGTTCTAAATATTTACTTAGAAATCATGAAGGATGTTTGTGTCGACGTCCGGACGGGGCGAACACTGAAATACCCATATAATAGCATATAGATAGGTTTGGCATTGATAAGATTGGGCCCAGGTGCTAAAATCGCCTCCACGATCTCGTATGGATTTCAAAAATAAGACCATATAATGAATGAACATGCTTATTTTTATAGGTTTGAGTGTGATATCAAAATTCGGCCAATAAATGGCGTGTAGCCACCCATTTAGGCATTATCGACTATTTTCAAGTGTTTTGAAACCATCCACTCAACTTTTTCAAGGTGAACATATCCCTTTAAGTCTCACAGACGACAGCAGCTGAATCCCCTCCATCCAACGCATCCAGGATGTCCTGATGTCCACCGGAATCCTGTCATCCCAACCAATCTGACGTCTAGAGAGCTCTTGTAAAATTTGTCTTCCCAGCAGAATGACAGCCGGGACGCAATCCCCGACATTGCGCTGATTGTAGACAGCATACTTCTACTCGTCATGTATTTGCTTTCCACCAGCTGAACCCTTATTCCTATAGTATCTGTTTCCACGCACCAGAACACTCCAAGAGCCTGTTCTTCGGGAAGTGTTTCCAGATCCAGGTTTAACCCGCGCCCCGCTGTGCTTTTCAGCCATACGCGCCCTGCTGGGGGGGGGGAGGGGCAGATTCTGCCCCCCCTGTCTAACTTCCGAACCGATGGTCGTAGAAAGACGGGGAAAACGGCAATCGAAAGCTATCAACAAGGCGGATCTTAAGAGTCCGATTTTTTTTTTGCTTAAGTAGGGGAGACCCGGGAGGTATGGGCCCCCTGGAGGTATGGGCCATCGCAGTTTTGAAGAAGTGTTGCGTATTTTTACACATTTGACAGCGTTAACTGGCAGCAGCCATTCCGTTATACAACCCAAGTGATTTTCTAAATCTTCCTCAGTCTTCTTTGGCAATGAGCGGCGATAAAGCGTTTTTGCCCTCTTCGAGTAAAATACGGCACATACAGAAAATTCGTGATAAATTTGAACCAGGCTCGTTTTATGATGTCAGACCATCGCTAACATAAAGTTTAAAGCATGCAAATTAAGACTGGATAGACAACTTGAAGCTTTCTTGGAAGATTATGAGCTGAGATGCTAGGCACATTCTGGTGTCCTAACCGGGAGGTTCGGGCCACCCACCCCCGTGGATCCTAAATAAAAAAATGCTTTCATTGAATGTCCCCGTCAATAAGTTTTATTTTTGTCGCACAAGGTCGAAAATTTAACTTCAAATTTCATTCGAACAGAAAAATATTTTTTTTTCCTGGTGCATGATTGGGTTCACCAATATACATATGGGCCCAAGTGACCTCCATGAAGTAAGCTGTTGGCCGCTTATGCGGTTCCTGGGCTCTAAGAGAGATCAAGGTAGATACCAGCTACGAGTATTATTCTCATTGTCGAGAAAAGAATATGAAACATGGCACCGGCCCATACCTCCCGGGCCATGGCCCATACCTCCCGGTGTATTTTGATGGATCGAAAAAGCACATGATTTATTGAAAGTTATCTAGAGACAAAATAGTTGATCCCAGATGCCTAATATCAGGCACAAGTTGCAGGCGAAAGGCAATTGCACCTACACAGGGTGAAAAACTGGGTCTAGTCACTGCCCACTGGAAGAAAATTGCCTTTTGACAAAGCCGGCCCATACCTCCCGGGTGTCCCCTAGGTCAGAGGTCAGGTCAAGGCAGGGGCGGATCCAGCATTTTGCCAAGGGAGGGGCTATTCCGAATCGGGGGCCCCCCATCGATGGGGGCCCTACCTACCCCCAAAAGTTTAAGCCTGGATTTCGTCCACTTTATTTTTGGGGGCCCCCTATCATGCTTTTTTTTTGCAAAAAAAAGAAAATGAGAAAGTCGCCCGGGGGGGGGGCGCTATAGTCCCTATCGCCCCCCTGGATCCGCCCCTGCTAGGAGGCCTTGTATGTGAACTAGGAAGCCCTCTGTGATAGCTAGGAGGCCCTCTGTGCAGATGCGAGCGCAGGCCCTCAGTACAGACTTGGAGACCCTTTGTGTGGATGCGAGTGGAGGCCCTCTGTGGAGATTAAGAGGTCCTGTGTTGGCGAAGAGGATATCTGTGCAGGCTTGGAGTCCCTCTGTGCAGGATAGGAGACCTTCTGTGTGAGTTAGGAGGCCCTCTGTGTTGGCTAGGAGGCCCTTTGTTCGGATGCGAGTGGAGGCCTCTGTGTAGGCTAAGAGATTTTGTGTTTGTTAGGACATCTGTGCAGGCTTGGAGGCCCTCTGTGCAGGTTAGGAGGCCCTGTAAAAGTGGTCATCTCTGTGAGTATAAGAGACCTCCAAGTTATGAAAAGCTTTACCAATCTTCTAACAAAGAAGTCTTCTCAGCTAGTCTTCTAAAAAATAACTAAGTGGGTAGGTTAAAAAAAACTCATCGGATTTCGGCCACTTTATTTTCAGGAGGCCCCCTTTTCAGCTTTTTAACTTTTTATTTTATTTTTGAAAAAAATCGGCCAAGGGGGGGGGGGGCATGGCCCCCATGGCCCCCCCTTGTATCCGCGCCTGGGTCAAGGTCAGGTCAAGGGTACAAAATGCAAGTTACTACAGTATCGGCCTGGCACCGTAGTTGCCGAAGAATGGACTGAGACTAATTGCCCAAAACGTGTTCTTAGGCTACCAAGACAATATTTGCTGCATACAACGTCATTCAAAGGTCAAGGTCAAGGTCAGGTCAGGTGAGATCACCAAAAACAAAATATAGAAAAGGGCATGTGCGACACATGTTTTATGGGTCATTTTATTCATGGAATTCAATAGACACACTTAATAAGTGATATGGACCACCTCTGGATGAATTTCAGGTCGAGGTCAGGTCAAGGTCAGGTCAAGCGAGGTCAAATTTTGAAGTTGGTTGTTAAGGCCTAAAAAGGTGTCTATTCGATGCAGTTTTTCACGGCGAATCGAATGGTGCTATTTTTGTTTCCGTACGAGGTCTAGAACTTCCAAAAA